GGGGCCCAGAGCTCCGTGCTGGTCCCTGAGAGAGTCCCCGGATTGCCTTGGGGTGCAGTTTGGGAAGCCCACGCGCTCCGCTCCGGATCCCCGGTCCCGCGTTTGGGCTCCAGTCCGCCCATCCAGGCCTGCGGTACAGCGCGTCGCTCCGCTCTAGTGCTCCTGTGCCAGGTTTTCTGTCTGTCGGGCTTACGGGCCTTTTTAATGCCCTGAGAGAGGGAATGTCCTTGCTGTCAAGCACTGAAGTGATACTTTGTTCCCAGAGCAGAAGGGAAAGGGTGTCACTCAAAATTAAACCCAGTAAAATCCTATTTATAGGAGCATTTTTTCCATTGTTTCTCTTTTTAAAATCCCTTTCTGTCAGATTTCTCTTCTCTTAACTTGCTCCAGTGAGCCAGCAAGGTGGGATTGCCCTAACTCTGCGGCAAGGTGATGGGGGAGGTCAGCTTCCCTACGACCTTATGAGTACTAAAGTTTCTTAGTGTTGGTCAGCACCAGGCAGGATCTTAGTTGAGGTGGTAGAGGTGTAATGGCATTTGTAACTTACTGGGGGCAGCCTGAGGAAGGGCCCACTGAGAGCAAGGTCTAAGGACATCCCCCACTTTTGCCCTCCAAGGAACTGTAGGTGGCAGGGACAGATCACCTATGGTTTTGGGATGGGGAAGGGCAAGGCAAAAGGAAGAGGGCCCCTTCTGGGGCTTTGGGGGGCACTGTTGTCCTCTACATGACGGGAAGGACAGGTTTGGGGCAAGACCCTAGAGGGCTTTGGACCTGGGGTTCGGGGGTACCTGACAGAGGCTGGTTGCAGCTTGCTTTCCCTTCACTTCCTGCTTATGCCAGTGGCCTCCCTTGAAGTCCCTCTCATTTCTGCTTTGTCTTTCTTAGAAGCTCTCTGAATCCCCCTGCCTCCTCCCTCCTTTTTCCTGGCATATGTGTAGCCCCTTGGTCCTGCCTGCCTGGTCACCTCGCTTACTTTGTCCCCCACAGGGCTTTCCAGTGGGGGTTGTGATGTCAGGAGTGAAATGTGAGCACCAAGAGGGGGTCTCATATGCTATGTCTCTGCCAGACGCCTCTGCCATGGGGAGACCACTGACACTGGCCGTGTCCAATGTGATATAACTGGGCAGGTCCAGCCTCATCCTGAGGCTTTGGGCACATCCAGCCCTGACACTCATGCTGCTCACCTAAGAACTGACCTGTTTCTGGGGCAGAATTGTGGGGAGCGTCTCTTCCTCTGCAACCTTCTCTACTCTCTGAAGCCATCATAAGGATGATGACTTGTGCAGGATGGGCCCAAGACACTCTGGGAAGGGCAGCACCTCTGTTGTGTAATCAAATGTGCATTTTCTGTCCAGCCTCAGTGTCTACACAGGTGTGGAGCCTGGCATATGAGAGTCCAGTGACATCCATCAGGGCGCCAGCTGCTCAGCCTTGAGTGGGTGTGGGGCCACTGGGAGGGCAGCACTGACCCAAGTATTTGCCTAGCCCAGATTTTGTTACTCACCCAGGAAGATCCATGGCTTGCAGGTCTCTGAGCACTCGAACTGTCCAAAGAGGGCCTTTTCCCAGGTGGGGGCCACCCACTCCAGCAGCTCCAGCTTCGTCTCCTGGGCAGGGCAGAATGTGTTTTCCTCCTGGCACTCACCATTTAAAAAGGCTCACCTTAACAGCACCACACCCTCTATGTTGTAATCCTGGGAGGCTGGAGGTGGGGGCTCTCGGGACAACATGAAGAGGACCCCAGGGAGAAGACCCATGGGGCTGACCAAGTGCCTCCTGGAGTGCCCCCTGGCCCTGGGTCAGGCCTTGTCCTGTCCCTGCCTACACAGTTCTGTGTCTGGAGGCTCCCACTATGACGGCACCGGGGCCTTGCCTGTGAATAGGCAGCACTGCAGACACTCAGTCTCCCCGTCTTAACACATAAGCTGGGACTCTAACCATACCCAGCCACTTTGTTCACTCCCTGTTCCTCCTTGTGGCCCCCACCCATAATCCTGTCCCTTGGAATCCCCGGCACTGACCCTGCCCAGCTCCCCAAGGCCCTCTTCGTGGCTCAGCATGGGCCTCACATAACCTCTCCTCTTTCCCCTACCCTCTGGAATCCCACCCCTTACTGCCTTGTCCTGTCTCCATCATCTGAGGCTGCTCCTTCTCCATCCACCTTGAGGCCCTGCCCCTGGACCTGGGCACAAGCCCTCCCCCCTGTCCACTCTCCCTGCACTGCCCACACTCAGCACCTCCAGGTACTGTCTTGGTGCCAGGGAAGCCTTCATCTCCAGCCCAGGGTTCCCTGAAAGTATGGCTGGTTATCAGGCATCTCTGCACAGAAATCTCCCCACACCTCAGATGGACCCCCATGTCCCCACTTAGCCCTCCAGGCTCAAAACCAAAGCTTAGCAAACGATTTGGACCCACCATTCACACTTAGCTGCACAAACCAGGAGTCACCTCAAACCAGTCGCCTCATCTCAATGGTCCCGACTCACTGCAGACCAGACCAGACTGTGCTCCACACCCTCCAAGGCTCAGGTCCCACCCCCCACAATTCACTGTGCTCTCTGCTGTGAAAAACCAGAGCTATGACCTAGTTTCTGCTGGACTAAGCCAGGGACTTTCTACTGCCCAGCCCACCTCCCTGCTCAGCCCTCTGTATTTGGGTCCCCCTGCCCACCCCT